CTGGTGTGGATGGTGGTGACGATCTCGCCCAGCTTCAGCTTGTAGAGGATGGTGGTCTTCCCGGCCGCATCCAGCCCCACCATCAGGATACGCATCTCCTTCTTGCCAATCAGGCTCTTCAGCAGGGTCCCAAAGATGTTGCCCATGGCGGCGGGGAGCAGTGCAGGGGCTCTGGGGCCGGATCACTTGCAGCGCACGCCTGGCGTCGAGGCCGGTTCCTGGGCAGCAGGAAGGGCAAGGCTGGCTGGCATCTGGTGCCCGCGGGGGACAACACCTCCCCGTGCAGCCGGCTGCTGGGGGCGCACACCCCAGAAGCTCAGCTCCATGGCAAGGTGGGTCTGGCCCTGAGTCCCAGCTCTATGCCAGAACAGACCTCCATGTGTTCAACAGCTGGTGCTGGCCCTCAGGATGCACCCCAGGTGGGCAGGTCTTGAACCCACAAACCTGGGGTCCCCGGGCCAATGCTCTAACCCCAGGCCACTCAAGAACCAACCCCACCTCCCTTCCTCCAGGGTGCCCCTTGTCCAGCCTTCCTAATGGGGCAGCTGGTGCTGGCCCTCAGGATGCACCCTAGGTGGGCGGGGCTCAAACCCACATACCTGGGCATCCCCAGGCCAATGCCCTAACCCCTAGGCCACTCAAGAACCCCCCCCACCTCTCGGGCGCCCCTTATCCAGCCTTCCTAGTCGGGCAGCTGGTGATAGCTGTGGAGGGGAGGGGAGGGGAGGTGGGGGGCTGCTGACCCACTGGCTCCAGGCTACCCCAGCCCAGCCCCACAGCTTGGGGGTAGGAAGACCTGCAGGCAACCTGTGAGACAGATCAGTCCAGAGCCCAGGGCAGGGCCACAGTCCCACAAGGGCCCTTTCTCCCTGCATCACAATACTGAAAGGCAGAGCTGGGGGTCGGCTGTGCCAGGCTGTGCTCAGCGCCCACCACGGCCAGCTGGATCGGCAGCCTTCACTCTGCCTCTATTGAGTGTTGGCCTCAAAGGCAATGGGCGCAGGGTCACAGCAGTGCTGCCAGCAAGGAACAGCACATGCAGGATGGGGGGGGGGGGACATCACTGCATGCTGGCCAATCAAAACAGGCCTCCCTGCAGCACACAGACCTCAGCCCCCAGGAGCAGAGACCAGACCAGCCATAACATGCTGCACAAAAGGGGAAACTGAGGCAAAGAGCCAGGGACTTGCCCAAGGCCAAGGAGTCAACAGAAGAATTCCCAGACTCCTGACTCCACTTCCCTCCCAGAGCTGGGAACAGAATCCAGGAGTCCTGGCTCTCAGCTCCCCCCATACTAGCCAGTAGGCCTTTCTGTGGTCCCTGCACAAGGGATGGGAGCACCATGGCCTCTCATTCTTCCAACCCTTTTTCCTTGGGTCGGTGTTTTACGCCGCTCCCTGCCTCGGCGTAGCAGCACTCCCTGCCCACCACACCCTCCTCTGGCTCCCTCAGATCCCAGTGCCCCCCTGCCAGCCATCTGATCCTTCCCCACGGCAGCCTGCCTGCATCTCCCCTCAGACTTTCCCTGGGCCCGAATGCCCTGGCCCCAGGAGCTCCAAGCCACCCCACATTAAGGCAAGGCCCAGGCTGGAAAATGGCTAATGGTAAGGACACTGGTCCTTGCCTTCCACCCCCAACTCTTTACATGGAATAATGGGGGGGGGCAGGAAAACCCATAGGGGGGTTATTTTCTGGTCAGCATGGGGGCAAGAGCACAGGTCCCTCAGCCTCCTCATTGGCCCCCCTGCCTGGGGAAGATGGGCCCCCCAGGGAGAAAGGCAGCCCCTGAGCAAAATGGCTAATGGTAAGGACACTGGTCCTTGCCTTCCACCCCCAACTCTTTACATGGAATAATGGGGGGGGGCAGGAAAACCCATAGGGGGGTTATTTTCTGGTCAGCATGGGGGCAAGAGCACAGGTCCCTCAGCCTCCTCATTGGCCCCCCTGCCTGGGGAAGATGGGCCCCCCAGGGAGAAAGGCAGCCCCTGAGCCGAGGGGGAAGAGAACGGGGCAACAGCTAGTCCCCCAAAAATAGCTCCCCCCAGCAGCAGGGGTGAGTCCTGCTGCCCCCATTGTGTGCTGGGCTCCTTGCTCTGGCTGAAGGGCACAGCCCCAGCCACCCCACTCTGGATGGCACCCTGGGGTCCTGCCCCTCTGCTGGATCCGAGACATCCCCATTCTCAGGGCTCCCTACTGGCAATGAAATGGGCAGGCCTGCTGCCCCCCCACCCTGCTTCAGACTCCCATCT